AATATAAAAAAACACAAGATACATAATAAAAATAACAACAACAAACCAATAATCCCCCCCTCCGGCAACATATTTAAAGGGCATTGGATGCCAGTCAGCCCAAGGCCTGTTTGAAGAGGGACGTTTTTGCCTGGCGCCTAAAGGTGTATAATGAAGGCGCCAGGCGAGCCTCCCTGGGGAGAGCATTCCGCAAACGGAGAGCCCTTAACTCCGAGCTGCCCTGGCATTTGGCAACAGCACCCGCAGACCCGAGGGTTGGCTGATAGGACAACTGCAATTCCCCAGGTAGGAGAAGGGGCTGGCACAGGCCACAGTCATCAACTGCCTGTGCTGTGTGCCCCTTACCTGGCCTGCCCCACCTCCCACACCATACCTCTCCCCCTACCCTGAACCACTGCGATTCCCTCCCCACTCTCTCTGCTCCCCCTCTTCCCTGGCACATCCCACAAAGAACCCCGGATTTAAACACATACAAGTTAATAACAGTTTTAAGCATTTTAAATATTGAGGTCATGGTGACAAAACCAAAAGCGGCATGCCCCAAACCAGAGGTCTGTTCAGCCGCCACAGCTTTCACATTGCAGTCAACCATGGCCGCACCCTGCTAGGCTGGGTGGAAGAGGCCTGCTTGCCAGGCAGGGAGCAGGTCCCACAAGACTCGCATCCCATAATGACATGGAGTGACACTGTGTCAGGACATCCTTGATTGAAGTACAGTGGTACCTCTGGTTGCGAACAGGATCCGTTCTGGAGCCCCGTTCGCAACCTGAGCAGAATGCAACCTACGTCTGCGTGTGCACGGGTCGCGATTCGCCAGTTCTGTGCATGTGCGTGATGTCATTTTGAGCACCTGCACATGTGTGAGCGGCAAAACCCGGAAGTAACCCTTTCCGTTACTTCTGGGTCGCTGTGGGACGCAACCTGAAAAGATTTAACCTGAAGCAAAAGTATGACTGTAGTGAGCAGCTTGTAACCACCGAAAACTTAGGGTTAATGTTTTTGCTGTAGGCCACACCTATAATGATGCCAAGTGTGTTTGTGTGGAGTCGAGGGCCTCCCCCTGCCCTAGTGGACCACAATATATGGTGGGTGAGCAAGTGTTTGGCTTGGTTGCTCACACTTTGTATAGGTCTCCTGTTTTGTCAAAGTCACTTGAGTAACGCAGATGGAGGGAGTCCAAAGAGCAAAGTCTTGATAACAGTTTGCTGAGAAAACAGAACAAAAACTGCGTACATTTCAAGGCAAATGTAACAGAAAGTTTTTTTTTCTTTCTTAGGTCACGCCTTGTACCTAGAGAGATGTACAACCAAGCATAAAATTTTCCTCAGAATAACACACCAATCAGAGCACATATTGTTACCTCAGCAAATGCCATGCCACTCTGCCACACCTCTACCTGTTTCCCTGTCGGCTAGCTGACTTTAACACAAAGATAGGACTACAGTGGTACCTGGGGTTAAGAACGTAATTCGTTTTGGAGGTCCGTTCTTAACCTGAAACTGTTCTTAACCTGAGGTACCACTTTACCTAATGGGGCCTCCCGCTGCTGCTGCACGATTTCTGTCCTCATCCTGAAGCAAAGTTCTTAACCCGAGGTACTATTTCTGGGTTAGCGGAGTCTGTAACCTGAAGTGTCTGTAACCCGAGGTACCACTGTACAATTTCAAGATCCTGAGTTACTCATGATGGGCACCCGGCTTCTCAGAAAGAGGCAACAGCAATTTGTTGCTTTTACCTCCGTCCTTGCCCTCCATTGTGCTTCTGAGATCTCTTGCATGCCCTTGGCCTCAAATGCTGAGATTTGTTTTTTCCTCCCCCTTTCTTTAACACAACAGAATCGCATGTAGCTTCTCTAAAGTCAGTCCCTTCTTTATTTAGATCTTCAGAATCGGAAGAGGAAACACATGAAGAGGAATGGGAGCCCAAAAAGAAAGTCGCAAGGAAGGCCAGTGCGCCCAAAACAAAAGTGTCGAGAGCGAAAAAACCCACTGTAGCTGCCCAGAAGAAACCAGCTGTGCCTAGGAAAAGGACCAAGAAGGTGGCAGTAAAAGAGGAATTGGTAAGTCGTAGAATCTAGGAAGCACTTTACTTTTCAAAGCATTGGAAAGAGTGGATAACAATTGTCGTAAAGGTAAAGGACACCTGGATGGTTAAGTCCAGTCAAAGGCTACTGTGGGGTTCTCATCTCGCTTCAGGCCAAAGGAGTTGGTGTTTGTCCACAGACAGCTTTTTTGTCATGTGGCCAGCATGACTAAACTGCTTCTGATGCACAGAGGACCGTGACGAATGACAGAGCACACGGAAACACCATTTACCTTCCCTCCACAGTGGTACCTATTTATCTACTTGCACTGGCATGCTTTCGAACTGCTAGATTGGCAGGAGCTGGGACAGAGCAACAGGAGCTCACCCCTTGTGGGGATTTGAACCACCGACCTTCTGATTGGCAAGCGCAAGAGGCTCAGTGGTTTAAACCGCAGCTCCACCCGTGTTCTTGTAAAAATAAATTTCTGTGGAAGCAGGGGTCTACACTTGGAGATCCTCATACCCAGTTTGGTTTTTCACAGGTGCCTGGGGGAACTTTACTTCTCTATGAACTGTATACTTATGTATTTGGGAGAAAGTCCCACTGAATGCAATGGGGCTTCCTTCTGAGTAAAGATGTACAGGACTGCAGTGGTAAAAGACTCCTGAGTCCACAGTCTAAAGTTGTGCAGACCCTTTGCTGTGTGCACACAGAACTTCATGCAAGCAGAATCTGACCTTTCATTTTGTTCTGGGCATCAGATGAATTTATGTCGCGCGGACAGCACAATCCATGACTTATGGAAGAGAATGGGAAAGACTCTGAACACATGAAGAACATAAGAGCATGCTAGATCAGGCCAATGGCCCATCTAGTCGATTATCCTGCTCCCGGAGCCTGTGAGAAACCCTCAAGGCAGGGCCTGTTGCTTCCAGCAGAGCCGAGCCATTGCAGTTAGTAGCTATCAATAGCTCTCTTCTCCTTGAATTTGTCCAGTCCTCTTTTAAAGTCACCCACTCCACTGTTTTGGAGTTATTAATTTTGCGCCTCCAAATCAGACATGTTCAACCGGTTGACCGCGATCGACAGATGGATTACCGTGGTGCTCCAGGTCGATCGTGGGATTAAATAAAGTGATCTCCGGGGTGCTTCTGATCGATCGTTGGATTTTAAAAAGTGGGCAATGAATGTCCGTGCGCTCTGGTGCTAGGTTCCATAGCCGCCACCCCTGCCGGGAAAGCTTGTATTCCCTGCGATGGCGGCAGAGTGGGGGAAGGAGGGAGGGTGGTAGAGTGTTGTGCAAGCGTTTTTTTTGCACTCCCCCCCCGAAAGATCAATAATTGGGCAAAGCTCCCCCAAACAAGTTCTTGCCAATGACAATGGGTAGATTTTTTTGTACTGGGAGTAGATCGCAGTCTCTTGGGAGTTGGACGTGCGTGCTGTAGATGAACAAAACTGAGTCTTGTATTGAAATAAAAAATAATTCTGTCTAAAAATATGGTTCAAAAGCTTTACCTCGCAAAACTTAAACTCAAACAACTTAATAACAAAGTTACATTCACTTAGTGAGCACAATTCAAAGTGTTGGTGTTGACCTTTAAAGTCCTAAATGGCCTTGGTCCAGTATACCTGAAGGAGCATCTCCACCCCGATTGTTCTGCCCGGACGCTGAGGTCCATCACCGAGGGCCTTCTGGCAGTTCCCTCATTGTGAGAAGCAAAGCTACGGGGAACCAGGCAGAGGGCTGTCAAACAGATAAACAACTACCTGACATTTAGAAGACATCTGAAGGCAGTCCTGTTCAGGGAAGTTTTTAATGTGTGACATTTTAATGTATTTTTAATCTTTGTTGGAAGCCGCCCAGAGTGGCTGGGGAAACTCAGCCAGTTGGGTGGGGTACAAATAATAAATTATTATTATTATTAGTGATGCATTTTTGTTCTGAGGTTATGCTTATGGAATGGCCAGAACCCTACAGTTCTACATCCAAAGCAGCTTCCAGCATATCCGTTTATGACTCTTGGAGCGAGGCTGAAACTGGTGTCATCATGTGACTAGGCCATGCAACATCCGTGCGTTTAATCTCTCTTATTTTCATCAACGTGCATTCTAAATGTGTTTTTGGTGGCTTGGGCAGGACACATCGGTGCCTATTGCAGCTCCTGGAGGGAATGAAGGTACGTTTCACCTGCTGCAGCCTAAGGAAGAGGAAGATGTCAAGCCAAGATCTGCAGCCCAAAAGCTCCCCGTGAAAGGGCACCCAGCCCACAGCCTGGAGAGCGCCGAAGGACCCTCCACAAGTGCTGCCGCAACGAAACGAAAAGTGAAGTCGGAAGAGTCTGAAGAAGATTTTACATTCGATGAGCCTCCTTTAAAAAAATCAAAATCAGCCACATGTCCTCAGGGAAAGCCTGTGAAATGTGCGGCGAGTGCCAAATTGGACGAAGACCATAAAATGAACTGGGACATTGTGCAGGTATGAGATCTTTTCCCTTTCATAACAAAGCTCACATAAACCTGTTGCAGCATAAAGAAAGCCTGTGGTCTGGACCGAGGCATAAATTTGGTTTCTGTTGTATATAATAGCAGTGCTGGATGTATTCCAGGAAGCAAATTAGCCTTTATTTATTTTTATAAAATAAATTGCATACTTTCCCCTGTTCTAATGAGAACCCTGAGCGAAAGCAATGGTGCAGGAAGGTTACAATTAGTGTTGGGTTTCATGAGGGAATATCAAAAAGAGGTCATTCAGATATTTGTGAACAGAATGGCGGGGGTGGGATAGGAAGTTTCTGTTTTTCAAACTATTGAACTTGGTGTTACAAGCTCCACAGGTAGGGAGATACTGAAAAATTAAAAAAGAACGGTGTATCTTGTTCACCTTCATTCTGGTTTACAGGTTTTAAAGCTTATTCATAAAAGAAGTACACCAGTTTTATAGGCAGTTAATTCTCATTCCCAGTATTTTATATTGGGAATGGATGTAGCTCAGTGATAGAGCACCTGCTTTGCATGCAGAAGATCCTGGGTTGAATCCTGGCATCTCCAGGTACGGCTCAGGATTGTCCCCTGCCTGAAACTTTGGAGAGATGCTGCCATTCAGTGTAGACACATCTGGGGTGAATTGACCCAATGAGCTGACTCTATATACAGTGGTACCTCGGGTTGCATACGCTTCAGGTTACAGACTCCGCTAACCCAGAAATAGTGCTTCAGGTTAAGAACTTTGCTTCAGGATGAGAACAGAAATCGTGCTCTGGCGGCGAGGCGGCAGCAGGAGGCCCCGTTAGCTAAAGTGGTGCTTCAGGTTAAGAACAGTTTCAGGTTAAGAACGGACCTCCGGAACGAATTAAGTACTTAACCCAAAGTACCACTGTAAGGCAGTTTCCTATGTCCCCATTTCTTTTTAAGCATTAGCTGCTCTGAGGTAATTTTTGAGGTATTTAATTTAAAAACAACAAGAAATCAACATGGCTTCAATAATAATAATAATAATAAATAAATAAATAAATAAATAAATGTTAATTTATTTATACCCTGTCCATCTGGCTCCCAACAGAATATGATAAAGAACATCAAACATTAAGAACTTCCCTAAACAGAACTGCCTTCAGATGTCTTCTAAAAGTCATCTGTTTATTTCCTTGACATCTGATGGGAGGGTGTGGCAGGAGGTGGCAAGAGGTGTGCTTGCCAGAGGCCAGATCTGACAGCCCTCCCAGCTGCCTGGAGCCTGCTGCCATGAGGACATTGCCTCACCTTGCCTCCTGGGTGAGCTGGCCTTGGCTGCTGGAGATTGAGATTTTTGGGGGGATTGCCAGGTTTATTCTTCACTGCTAGGAGAAAAGAGGAGCTCTTTTGCTTCTGTTGCCTCACCCCAGCCTGCCCTCTCCCACACAGTACAGTGGTACTTCAAGTTACAAACACCTCAGGTTACGAATGCTTCAGGTTGCAAACTCCGCTAACTGGGAAGACTTACCTCGAGTTGAGAACTTTGCCCAGGATGAGAACGGAAATCGTGTGCCGGCGGCATAGCGGCAGCAAGAGGCCCCATTAGCGAAAGCACGCCTCTAGTTAAGAACAGTTTCAGGTTAAGAACGGACCTCTGGAACGAATTAAGTTCGTAACTAGAGGTACCACTGTACTGGGCTACACAAGCTTATACAGTCATACCTTGATTCTTGGATTTAATCCATTCTGGGAGTCCGTTTGACTCCGGAAATGGTTCAGAAACCAAGGCACGTCTACCGATTGGCTGCAGGAGCTTCCTGCAGCCAGTCTGAAGCCGCGTCGGACCTTCGGCTTCCAAAAAACGTTCACAAACCGGAACATTCACTTCCGGTTTTGCGACGTTCGGGAGCTGATTTGTTCGACAACTAAGGCGTTTGACTACCAAGGTACCACACTACAACAACAACCCACTTTTGTGAGAATCCCAATTGACTTGCTGGGCTTCTTATTTACTGTTTCAGGTCTTGTCGCAAAGGACTGGCGTTGAAGAATGGGTGTGTGCGAACATAATCCGCCTCTTCAACGACGACAATACTATTCCTTTCATTGCCCGGTATCGGAAAGAGCTTATAAACAACATGGAGGCCGATGCATTGCGTGAAGTGCAGCAGACGCTGGAAGAACTACAGTATGCCATGGGGTGGAGGGCGGTGGCAGTGGAAAGGGACAGAGAACACATAAAAAGTCAATAATAATAATAATAAGTTGTAAATTACTGCATGCCCTTTACTTGCAGGTCCCAGGGCATGGCAGGTTGAAACTGTTTAAAATTAAAAACAGTCAAAACAGATTGCAGCCATAGGAATTGGGTAGGCCTTGGTCACCGAAAGCTGTATAGTGAAGGTACCAAACACACTTTTGTGGGGCGGGAATTCCACAACTTATGGGCTACCATAGAGAATATCCTCTCTTGCCGCCCACCACAAGAGTGTTGGAATTACTGAGAGGGCCCCTTCTGCTGAGAGGGCCTGTAGAGAAGGACAAGGCCTTTCAGATATTTTGAACCCGAGTTGTTTAGAGTATTTAAATGCGTATAACAATAATAATAATAATTTATTATTTATACCCCGCCCATCCGGCTGGGTTTCCCCAGCCACTGTGGGCGGCTCCCAAAAGAATATTAAAATCATGATAAAACATCAAACATTAAAAACTTCCCTAAACAGGGCTGCCTTCAGATGTCTTCTAAAAGTCAGATAGTTGTTTATTTCCTTAACATCTGATGGGAGGGCGTTCCACAGGGCAGGCGCCACTACCGAGAAGGCCCTCTGCCTGGTTCCCTGTAACCTCACTTCTCTCAGTGAGGGAACCGCCAGAAGGCCCTCGGTGCTGGACCTCAGCTGAGCAATGGGGGTGGAGATGCTCATTCAGGTATACTGGGCCAAGGCCATTTATGGCTTTAAAGGTCAGCACCAGCACTTTGAATTGTGCTCGGAAACGTACTGGGAGCCAATGTAGGTCTTTCAGGACAGGTGTTACGTGGTTGGCGGCCACTCCTAGTCACCAGTCTAGCTGCTGCATTTTGGATTAATCATCATCATCATCATCATGAATTTATAAAAAATGAAAAAACTTTGTCCAAGTTTTCTAGGTGACACAAATGGATGTCTGAGAAATGTTACTAAGGGAATTGGTTTCTAGGAAAGGATGTGCTTCCCCTAAACCTAGAACTTGTTTTCAGGTGAGCAGAAGGTACGTAGGAGGCTGTCAGCCATCTAGCTCAGTATTGTCCACACTGACCGACAGAGGTTCTCCAGGGTTTTAGGAAGGAGTCTCTCCTAACCTTTCCTGGAGATGCTGAAGACCTAACCTGAGACCTTCTGCATGCAAACCACTTGCTCTATCACTGCGCTGTGGCCCTTTCCCAATGCTCTAACAGTGGTTCTCAACCTGTGGGTCCCCAGATGTTGTTGGACTACAATTCCCATCATCCCTCAGCTCTGGCCTTGCTAGGTAAGGGTGATGGGAGTTGTAGTCCAACAACATCTGGGGACCCACAGGTTGAGAAAGGCTGCCTAGAAGGATGTTCTGTTATATTGCCTTCCTACAGGCCTTTAGGTTGGGAGAGATATAATATAGGAAATGCATTAATCTCTGGCTTGCCCACTGCCAGTTTGTCTAGGGTGGATTGCAGAACCTGTCTGAGATGCCACAGTCCACTCCAAAGTTTTGGTGGAGCTGAATGAATTAACTCCAGTTTGAGACACATTTCCTTGGCTTGGGAAGTTGCCCTTTCTGTCGATGAAGTGGGACACTATGTAAATGTAAGACTATGTCCTTTGCAGTTGCATAGTCCATGCAAATTTCCTTCTTCACACTAGGAGATGCCTGCAGAATTAGGAGTGGTGTGTCTACATGTGCATTAATTGGTATGACATTCTCCTCCTTTTCTTTTTAATCTTAGGACTGTTGTGAAAAAAGTTCATGCTTCGATCCAGAAGCTTAAGAAAGAAGGAAAACTCTCAGAAAGCCTTTTGACTGCTTTATTAAACTGCAGAACCTTGGAGGAGTTGGACCACGTGGTTAGTATCTTCTTTTTAAAATGTAAATCCATTAGATTCTTTTAAAGCAGTGTTTCATCAAACATCCATGCCTCTATCCACAAATGTTTTGTCTTCTGAGAACCTCTTCCTCATTGCAGAGGATTATGGGGGTGAATACTAGGGTGCATTCTCAATTAGGAACATAGGAAGAATGCCTTATGCCAAGTCAAACCATCTGGCTCAACATTGTCTAGAAGAATGTTTTTATAAGGCTCAGAGTGTCCTTTTCATAGAATTGTTATTCAAAGCATTCTGCGTACCTCTTGTGATTTTTGCTTTGAACGCTCCTTGTAAAGTGCAAAAAGATAATGAGAATTGGTGGCAGAAAAAAAATCAAAGTAAATATTTATTTAAAGCATTTATGAATTGATACATAAAAATATCCAGCTGGTGTACCCCCCTCTCTCCATACACAGACACATATATATAAGTGAAACAAAAATATATAGTGGAACCTTGGTTTTCGAATGTAATCCATTCCGGAAGTCCATTCAACTTCCGAAACATTCAAAAACCAAGGATCAAAGGGCTGTTGGCAAAATGAATGGAGAAAACTGAGAAATGCACCTCGGAAGCCGTTCAATTTCTGAGGTGCGTTCGAAAACAGAAGCATTCAGTTCCGGGTTTTCAGCGTTTGGCTTCCGAAACGTTCAGCAGCCGAGACGTTTGAAAACCGAGGTTTCATTGTATAACAATATATATATTTATATATAAAGGTAAAGGGACCCCTGACCATTAGGTCCAGTCGTGGCCGACTCTGGGGTTGAGGCACACATCTCGTTTTATTGGCCGAGGAGCCGGCGTACAGCTTCTGGGTCATGTGGCCAGCATGACTAAGCCGCTTCTGGCAAACCAGAGCAGCGCACGGGAACACCGTTTACCTTCCCGCCGGAGCGGTACCTATTTATCTACTTGCACTTTGACATGCTTTCGAACTGCTAGGTTGGCAGGAGCAGGGACCGAGCAATGGGAGCTCACCCCGTTGCGGGGATTTGAACTGCCAACCTTCTGATCGGCAAGTCCTAGGCTCTGTGGTTTAACCCATATTTATATATAACTATCTATATATTATATATAACTATAACTTAAACAAAAATGCAGTGTAAACCTACAATAAACAAATAAAACAGGAATTCAGGGGATTTAGTTGTATAAAACAAGGTCCTGTCTTATGGGTCAAGGTAGGGAAATCCTGGGCAACAATATGAGTCTGTACAAGGATCTGAAGTAACTGGTGGTTGCTGCTTCACAAATTTTTCTGTGGTTTTTATATTGTCATAAGCAGTGAACTGCCCTGAGATCAATGGATGAAAGGTGGTGTACCAATTTTAATAATAATATTATTAATAATAATATGGTGGAGGGAAGGGCATTCAGATTGTAGGGCCAATGGCAGAAAATGCCTGTTTTCTTGTCACTGCCCTTTTAAATATTTTCTTTAACAAAATTTATATACAATTTGATTGTTTAAAAAATCAAATGGTGGTTTACAAA